ACTGACTCTTAGCTATGTTATTGATATGTGCATTGGGCTTCAGGGTGAGTTGTTATGAGACCTTAGATTTTTGTAATCCTATAAGTGATGAGCTACCGCTACAGGCATCTCAGCCTCTCCTATAAGAGAGGCATGTTGTGTATTTCATGTGTACACACATGGGAGACCCTCTTGGAGCAGGGAGGCTGACCATATTTGTGCACATCATCTGTGTGTACAATTCTTCTGTGTCTTGCTTAGAGCCCAGAACAGAGCAAGCCTTATATCAGTCCTCTTTCAAGATGCCTGTAATCTTATGGCCACGTTCCTTAGGCCCCATTCACTATCTGTTATTTCCTAGAGCTGACTGTTGAAGATTTGGGATTAAAGTTGGGGGAGGTAAATCCAATTCAAGGTCCCTTCTTTCCCCCGAATCCTGAATTTTTATACTTTATTCATAGCTGTAAATGGTCTTTCACCCCTCTGAAATTTTTCATGTGTTTAATGGTGTTACAGGAGAGATTTTTAGTTTGAAAATTGATCTTTGACTGTTTTACCCAGCCTTTCATATGCATAAACTCTTGGACTATATTACAGTTTCTAAGAAGTGTCCTTTTCAGATGCACTGTGAACAAATAACCCTTTAAAGGAGAGTTTATTGCTTTTGGATAAATAAAACTCTTCTGGGAGAGATTATATGTCTGTATGCAAATTTCATTGAACAAAATATGAATGATCTGAACATCTTGCACAACACAAAAGCCAGTTGAAGTAGGGCAGATACCAGGAATAAAAGCATAATTAAAGAGAAGAGACAGGAGCTGGAGAAAGAATGAGCTTTGCATTATGAGTGGTATTAGGAAGAAGACATGGTGATAACCCAGTAATTGGAAGCCACATATAATCAGAAAAACTTATTTTGTCCTCTAGTTAAGACCTTTTTGCAAGCTATCTACTAGAGTTGCTGACAAGTAGTATTTTTTTTTTTTTTTGCTGACAAGTAGTATTAGAAGAGATTATACATTAAAAGGACCTGTTCTCTTCCAGAAAATTAAAACAAGGAAGCATTCAGTAGAATCTGAGAGGATGAAAGAAAATACTGTACCCTATATTCACAGGTAGTAAAGTTAGTGCAAATATGTATATATTTAAATACTCATTTGCCTTAAATATTTGAGATTTGAATTATGCACACTTACTCTCCCTAATATTGATATTCAGTTTGTCCTAATGAGCCTCAGGCAAAGAGAATTTGAATTATATAACATGTGTAAACTTCACATTGAATAGTAATTAGTCTGTTCTGCTTAGTGGCACTTAATGTTGAGGTTAATAGTTCAGTAACAATTTTAAAAAGCCAGTGACTTATCTCCCAATATATATAGTATAGATAGGCTGAGAATCAGTAAAAGCTTTTATTCTGGGTCAGTAACAGTTTAAGTCCTGACTCTGTGTCTAAGCCTTGGTTTTACAATTATTGCATGTGTGACTATGGGGCTGGGGGACAGGGCAACTGAACTTTGTAATTTATTACTGGCCAGGGCAAAGACGACGTCCTGTATTCTAGGAACCATTCTTCCACCTTTTTCTTATTTCCTAAATATTTACCTGGGGTGTTGTTAGGGAAAATGTTTTTCTTTTTACTTCTCCATTGCCTTAATTTAAAGAAAGCTTTTAGGTAAAGGGGCAGCAGCAAAAACAGCTGGGTAGTTTGCTTCTGTGAAGATTTGTCGAGTTGGTGAAAAGCTGACAGTGGGCATTAAATACCTAGACCAATGTGGGAGTAAAAAGTTATGACATTTTTGAAGTTTTATGCTTAACATCATATGTATGTAATTAAGACAAGAACTTAAACTATCTGTCACACAAGAGTCTGTGTCATATACCACTGTGTACTTTGCATTAAGAATTCTGGTTTATCCTACAAAAAGGTTTTAAAAATAAATCATGAAAGGACTCCTATAGAAGGTTTTTTTTTTTTTTTGGTACAAAATTTACTGTTTTTTTTAAATGCTTAATATTAGAAAACATGTTGGTAGGTAAAAATCTGTATTTTTAAAAGTCACATTTATAAAAATATGTGTAATACTCCATGAAGGTTGAATATTAAGCAGCAGTGCTTGGGTGTTCTAGAGCCATAATTAGAATACTGATTGCAAATTACCAAAATTCAGTGAGTCAACAAACCAATTTAAAAACAAACTCAAGGATATTAGATTTCAAATGTTCTTCCTTAATTTAGTTTGCCCATTATACTTTATTTTAATTATTCATAGTATTGCTTAACATGCCAGGAAATGTCTTGTAATAGAATTTATAAAATAATGTAGTTTCAGTAATATGAATACTATCTTTAGCATTCTGCTTTTAAATCTCAGATTGAGATGTTTTATAAGGAATCATCTAGTTTGATGCATAAAAGCATGTTTTTGCATAGTAACTTTATCCATTTTAGAAGTTTGAAAACAAATGCTCCCTTGAGAAAAATCAGTGGAGTAATTGCTATATATCATTTTGTTGTTGTTGTTGAGCAAATGAGAAAAAAAATTGTGAGAAGAAAAAAATACATAATTTCACTAATATAGGATAATTTTTCATTTTGAGTATTACTGTCTTGTTTTTCAAGTTTTTATTTAAATTCCAGTAAGTTAACATACAATGTAATATTAGTTTCAGGTGTAGAATTTAGCGATTCTTGAATACAACTGGTGCTCCTCACAAGTGTCCTCCTTAATCCTAAGCACCTATTTTTGCCCATTCACCTCCCTTCTGTTAACCATCAGTTTTCTATAGTTAAGAGTCTTGTTTCTTGGTGCCCCCCTCCCACCTTATTTTTGTTTGTCTTGTTTCTTAAATTCCATATATTGGGGTACATGGGTGGCTCAGTTGGTTAAGTGTCCAACTCTTGATTTCAGCTCAGCTCTTGATCTCACGGTCATGAGTTCAGGTCCCACGTTGGGCTACTTTAAAAAAAAAATAAGTGAAATCATGTGGTATTTGTTTTTCTTGGATTGATTTATTTTGCTTAACATAATACTCTATAGTTTCATTGACGTTGTTGCAAATGACAAGATTTCACTGTTTTATGGCTGAAGAGTATTCCATTGTGTGTGTGGTATGTGTATATATGTATATGTCATTTGCAAATATCTTCTCCCATTCTATAGGTTGCCTTTTAGATTCTTTCCTTCACATTGATTATTACTTTTCGATGTTCATTCATGTACATTCTTTCCTCTTCTTTCTTTTTTTGGGGACATAGATTCTTAAAGTATTGTTCGTTTTAGTGAAAAGCATAACCTCTGACCAGTATCTTTTCTGTATCATGCTAGATATTGAAGGGATATAAGATTGGCTTATGTATCATGGATTTAAGTGGGTAAGTTAGATGTACAGCACAATTACCAAACCATGGAGATGTAAATTCTAGATGAAAATTTGGACATTTGTCATTGGTTCCATTAGGAAGTAGAAGTAAGCAATAAAGAGCTTTTCTTTTATAGTATTGGTGTGGATTTTTTCCATCTTCAGGATTTACTTCTGTTTCGTATTCTTAGTATTAATGGTAGGGGTTCAAAAATATGTTAAGTATGGGGGATCCCTGGGTGGCACAGCAGTTTGGCGCCTGCCTTTGGCCCAGGGCGCGATCCTGGGGACCCGGGATCGAGTCCCACGTCGGGCTCCCGGTGCATGGAGCCTGCTTCTCCCTCTGCCTGTGTCTCTGCCTCTCTCTCTCTCTCTCTCTCTCTCTCTCTCTCTCTCTCTCATAAATTAAAAAAAATTAAAAAATATGTTAAGTATGGATTTAAATTTTGTTCCTAAATAGAAAGTTTTTTTTAAAAAAATTATTTGACAGAGAGAGAGCGCATGTGCGCGTGTGCATGCACAAGTAGGGGGAGTGGCAGGCAGAGGGAGAGGAAGGGAAGAAGCAGGTTTCCTGCTGAGAGGCTTGATCCCAGGACCCTGGGATCATGACCTGAGGTGAGGGCAGATACTCAGCTTACTGAGCCACCCAGGTGCCCCTAAATAGAAAGGCTCTATATAGGTTATATATTCTGAGGTACTTATATGAGTGAAAAAATAGGTAACACATTTGGAATGGAATAAGCAGTGAGGAACCCTTTCCTCATCATTGCACAACAGTAATTACTACAAACTTTTCAGTCCATTTAGTATCTATTAGGTAAAATCTTTGTTCTGTTAGATATTTTTTTCTTTGCTAGTGGATGGAGACATAACTGTTGAAATTTGGACATCAAAAAATAATTGCTTTTTATCTCAGATGGAGAATTATTTTCTTTCTTGAGTCTTGTGATTCTTTATATTAAAAAGCCATTTAAATCTTAATATTATCCAGCTCACTCTATGACCCTTCGCTATTTTTCTACCTCATTCTCAATCTTTGCTGTAGCTAAATGCTGCTTCCCAAGTATAAGCTGTGCTTTGATCCCTCATTGTTTTGGTTCACTCTAGTCCCTGGTCTCCAAGTACTTTCTCATTCTTCTCTTCCTAGTAATGGCCTGCTTATCCTTGAGGATCTAGTTTAGGTGTGAGTTCTCCATAAATTTCTGAATTATTCTTGTCCCACACCTCCCACAGAATTAATTACCTCCTTGTTTTTGTTGTCTTACTACGTTATTGGTGGCTCTTAGAACCACCACAGCTCTTCGTTACGTCCTGGTTATTAAGAATAGGGGCCATGTATTATCCTTCTGTATAGCTTCTAGAACAGGCATTCAGTGAACATTTGTTGAACTGAGATGTTTTGAGCACCATGCTTGTCCTGATGAGGTAAACAGCTGGCCTCCCTGAATTCCTTGACCATCATGGCCCTTACTCACTGTGTTCCTCACACACCCCATCCCCACCTGTTATACTGAGGTTCTGGGTATCTCTTACAATGCATCTGAGAGCAATCAAAGAGGGGTCCTCTTTGTATAGGTGGAAAATGCCAGGAAGCTGGCTTGCATCTCCTCGTTTTCTGCAGCTCTGAGTCACATCTTCTTGTCCTGTTTCTGCAGGACCCTAACAGGAGCATCCACACCAGCAGCAGCAGCAGCAGCAGCTGCAGCAGCAGCAGCAGTAGCAGCAGCAGCAGCAGCAGTAGCTGCAGCAGCAGCAGCAGCAGCAGCAGCAGCAGTAGCAGCAGCAGCAGCAGCAGCAGCACCAGTTTTTCAAAGCCTCACAAATTAATGAAGGAGCACAAGGAAAAACCTTCTAAAGACTCCAGAGAACATAAAAGTGCCTTCAAAGAACCTTCCAGGGATCACAACAAATCTTCCAAAGAATCCTCTAAGAAACCCAAAGAAAATAAACCACTGAAAGAAGAAAAAATCGTTCCTAAGATGGCCTTCAAGGAACCGAAACCCATGTCAAAAGAGCCAAAACCAGACAGTAACTTACTCACTATCACCAGTGGACAGCAAGACAAGAAGGCTCCTAGTAAAAGGCCACCCATTTCAGATTCTGAAGAACTCTCAGCCAAAAAAAGGAAAAAGAGTAGCTCAGAGGCTTTATTTAAAAGTTTTTCTAGCGCACCACCACTGATTCTCACTTGTTCTGCCGACAAAAAACAGATAAAAGATAAATCTCATGTCAAGATGGGAAAGGTCAAAATTGAAAGTGAGACATCCGAGAAGAAGAAATCAACCTTACCGCCATTTGATGATATTGTGGATCCCAATGATTCTGACGTGGAGGAGAACATGTCCTCCAAATCTGATGTGAGTAGCCTTGTTGGTTTCCCATCTTTACCTTGTCAGTCTTCAGAGTCTATTTCACATGGCTGCAGGATAAAGAGTGAGGGAAGAGAATGACAGCTAAACCATGAAATGGTAGCATGGAAGTGCCTAGAAATGAATTTCCTTAACTAATGGAAAGAAGGAAATGAAATCCTGCAGACATTTGGGTTGTGATTTAAATTGTTAAAGGAAAGATACTTTCCATAGCATAATAATGGGCCATTTGAATAGCAGCAGAAAAATTGAGGTGCTCATTAGAGCTTAGTTACTATGCTTTTTCAGTGATTACTGATTTAGGAGAGTGAGAAGAATGTAATAAACTTAGTAATATGAGAGATAAATTTAAAAGAGAAAGTTGGAAAATATTGGGTATGGTTATAATGTTGATCTTTTTGGTCAGTGCAATCAAGTAATTTGTTTACAAAGATGGAAAGCTGGTAATAGTTCAATAGGTTTTTTTTAACAGTTTTATTTTAATTCATGTTGTAATATACCATATATATTTAAAATGAATAATTTGGTAGATTTTGACTTACATGTGCTCATGAAACCAAGTGGTGGTATTTTGAAAATGAAACATTTAATTTCTTTTTCATTGGCTAGCCATTGATTTGGGAGGGGATGAGGAATGCAATCTTCATTGTGTTTTTGCTGATGGGCAGGATTATCTTTTGTGGATACCTAAAAGACCATCTGACCATCTAATATCCCTCTGAAATGTTGTCTGATTTAAGGTTTAAACCAATACAGATTCCTCAGAGTTGGGAGAGATTTTCATGTTATCTATCTAATTTTCCACCAGTGTAAGAAATTTTACACTTCTAGCAACAGAACTATTAGTACTTTGAAAAGTATTCCATTCCATTTCTAGAGAATGAACATTATTTACTCTGAAATCATGGTCACTTTTTTTTTTTTAACACACTTTTGCCTTCTTTAGTTGCTTATTAATCACAGTCCAAATAATCTCCTTACTTTGATTTGCCATTATTTCTAGACAATGATCAAGGAAGATATCTGGTTAAAAGATATCAGTTTGAGAATATTTCTCTTTTTGTCCCATGAGTTCACCATATACACATGTTTCTAATCCAAATACTGGCAGAGGTAGGAGGATTTAGTAGCAGATTCTCCCTTGTGCATTTGTGGTGGGAAGAAGGGCAGCCACGGTTAGGACATGGCATCAGTTGTCTGTACTATCCTCTATAGCTAATCTTGACTTTGAAAAAAAAAAAGATTTTAATTTATTTTAGAGAGCTAGAGCATGAGTGAGTGGAGGGTGGGGAGCAGAAGGGGGGAGAGAGAGAGAATCTGAAGCAGACTCTGTGCTCAGTGTGGAGCCCAACATGAGTTGTGGTCCCACAACCTTGAGATCATGACATGAGCTGAAACCAAGAGTTGATGGTTTAATTGACTGAGCCACCCAGCCGTCTCTAATCTTGAGATTTTAATAGAAGATCAGATTGGGAGTAGAGTATTAAAATACACGAGATTGGGGTAATTTGTTCCTGTGTTCGGTCAATGTTTTTTAGTGATAGTTTATTGAATGGAGATGAGAACTAATGGGTTTCTTCCAGTATCTCAAGCATTTCTTTTTCCTCCTGTGCTTTTTACTTAGTCTCTTCTTAGTATAAAATTAGTTCTTAATGCTTAAGATGTTATTTGGAAATTTTTTGTATTTGACTTTTATTTCAAATCACCCTAAAGTGTTCATTGAGCCTCTTGGGCTCAATGTGATTAGTCTATGAAGATTGTCAGGTTTAGCAACTTTGTCTTTCTATGTTCTGATATATTATGATTCTTTTAGAGCAGAGGTTTTCAAATTGTGGCTTGTGATTCACTGGTGAGCCATGAAACCAATTTAGCATGTCATTAGCAGTATTAAGAAAAATCAGAATACATTGTAATTAGTATGGATAAGTAAGGGTTTGTAAAAATTTTATGTCATATGTTGTGTGTATTCCTTATAGTATGTCATCGTCAAAATTCTGAAAGGCATCTTTTATGTTTGCTGATTTATGAGAAGATCAAATGACATTCATAAAGCAAAGCTCTACATGAAATTATCACAAATAATCATCTTTTTTAGATAACTCTGTATTCTTGTTTCCATTTTCTCTTGCTCCCTCCCTTTTATATATGATTTATAAGATACGGTTTTTTATAAACTTCATGTTCAACTTAGTATATTTATCCAAAACAATATCTTAAAAAATCTTTTGGAGTGAAGAGTTAGAATTATAATTCCTTACAGTAGTTAGCAAGTTTTCAAAAACCGTTCATGGCATAGTAGAGCCACATATCCAGTGATTGTTATAGGAGTTTTTATAGTGGGTTCTGCCCATCATTACAGAGAAAGCCTCTAAAGACTTTTGGGCATTATTTGGGTATAAAACACAACAAATGTATTTTCTTTATTGGTTTTCTAGTAGTAGTGCTTTTACTGTTGCTGTTGTTGGTTTAATTCTCTGAAATGCAGGTGGTAGAGACAAAGAAAATTGACAAAGTGGTTCTAAATAAGCCAGGGCCCAAAACACCTTTCTGTGAGTAAAGGAGATAAAGGGGGGCTGAAATTCCCTTTATCCAATAGTAGAAATCATGTTTGTTTGGCCTTCTTTCTACCTGGTGTCCCTCTTGTGGGCAAGACAGAAGGAATGGGAGGCCATTGTAATAGAGAGCAGTGAGGAGTCCAAATCCTTCCTTGGCCAGTAAGGGATTTGATAGCTTGGGACCCGCCCAACTTTTCAGGGGGCACTGTTCACAATGTCCTGGTGGTAAGTATGTCTGCATCTGAGTAAGTGTGATAAGATGACCTGATCTCTCTAACATCCTTTCCAGCTTTGTTACTTGAATATGAGCCAGATTTGTGTTCACTTTCAGCAGATGGGGTAGGGGGGTAATTTTAGACACAACGAGCAGAGATCATGGATGACTTGGAAACAGAAGAAAGAGGAAGAAAAGAAATTGAAAGAATGTGAAGAATTAGGAAGGGCTAGGAAGAAAAGATTATATACCTGGGAAGCCTGTGAAGTAAACATCTTACCTCAGTCCACATTAGTTACAATTAAAAGGAAGAACTTTTTAAAGAAGCTTTTGCATAATTAAGTTAGATTCCGGTTTTCTATAAAAATAAAATCAGTGTTCTTAAGATTGAGTAGAAAGCTTAGATTGTTCATTCATATGGTTCTTTTTGGTTAAGATTTTTATATATTTTGCATAGAAAAGTAGAAGTACATCCATCCTTATATGTTCTATGTGTCTTTTGAGTGATCACTTATTTGTCAAGTGCTTAGGCAGGTAGGTAGGTAGTCAGTCAAGTAATCAAGTAATTAGGAGCTTGTCCTGTGGTATTAGGCTGTATTTTGAAGCTGGGCTCTTCCGGTAATCTTGGGAAAGCACTTTAACCTTTTGTGTTTCTTAGTTCTTTTGTAGGATGGATATCATAATAGTGTTTTACTATGTAGGATTATTGTGAAAAAGATCAGTCTGGAGAAAGCACATAGCACATTAGCCAAAAAATATTAGTTAGCCATGATTATGTATGATGTGACTTCTGGAAACCTTTATAACCTATAGCTTTGCAAGAGATTTTTTGCTTTTCAAAAATAATTTAGAATTTCCGTGTCCTTTTTCGAGGGCCTGGCTTATATGTTTTCAAGGGGGAAAAGTACTTGAAATAGGCATCTATGTCCTATTGCTCTCAATTTTGTCTTGAGGTATATGGCCTTGATATTGATATGCATTTGTTGTATAATGAGTGGAAAAATACAGGATGAAGAGTGTAAGTTTTAAATCACAAGTTAAGCCAAATTTTCCCAGGATCTTTTAGCTTTTTAATTAAAATAGATAAAGGACAAGAACATAGCTAGCACTGTGTTAGGTTAGGCACTTAGTTGTTTTTTTATTGCTATTCATATTAAAGACATCCAAAGAAATGACTTACCTCTGGGTTATTATTAATGTTACAAAGAATCATTTAATTAATTAATTTTATTTTATTTTTATTTTTTACAGAATCATTTGAAAATACATCTCTGAAGTGTTTTTTCTTTTCTAAAGAAATTTAGTTTTGTTACATGAAGTCCATCAGTGATTTTTTTCCCCTATGGAATTCAAGAGTTACAAGTTGTATGGGGGGGGGGGCAGAAGGACTGGTTTATAGTGGGTGAGCATTTGGCAAATGCAGAAAACATGATAACATGTTTTTGCTATGTACATAAATGTTAGCATTAAGAATATTTTACCTTCAAGGACCTAGATAATTCCCATTGGAGTAAAGCTGTTCTTAGTTTAGGAAATTATCATTTTGTAGTCATAATGGTCATTTATGGAAACTGTCCTTATGCTAACAGCTGGAAGGGTGAGGATCTGTATCTGTGTCAGCTGAAAGTTTGTAATTGTAGTTTGTATTAACTTGTTTAAACTTTAATTAACAATTAAAAAGAACTCAAATATCTATTGCCCTTCCTGTGATTTCCTAGGATTTGTTTTTTATATGACTTAGCATCTGAAGAGAAGTCTATTGAGTTGATACTGTTTTGTGATGTGAGAAAATTTGGTATTCACAGCAGAGAAGTAGGGGAAAAAGAGTAAAATAAAATTGGAATAAGTATAATCAGATTTGGCTATGGTAGTATTTCCTTATCATTGCCTTTGCTTTTTGCTGTGCTTCGCGGAGATTTAATTGTAATTTAAAAGCTCAGATGTTAAAGTTTCTAATAGTCTTTCCTTGAAAGTGGGCAGATTACATTTGGTAAAATGTTACATACTCTGGCCAGCTGGGTGAGGAAGGCTATAATCCTGTCCTTTGATACTTTGGTTTGCCTAAGTGTTTTCTTGGATAAAATCTTCCTGAGGGAAAAAAGATGAAATCTCATGGAATGGTAGCTTTTTACCAAGGGTGGGTAGTGGTGCTGACACAGAATAAAGCCTGCAAGCCACCTTAGTAGTAGCTTCTTTTGAAAAGAAAAAAAGAAGGAAAA